TAAACAACTTAAAGAATAAAAATGCTGATGCCAGCCAATTTTTTGAAAGTTAACTTAATAATAACAAACCAAACGATGTTAAATAACAAACCAAACGATGTTAACAAAATGACGTAGAAAGCGCAACTAGATCAAATTATAATACCTGAGTGCTTGACGTAACAGATATAGAAATAGAATTTGATACCATAAAAATTTATATAGAAATAAAAATTGATACCATAAAAAATTTATTCGTTTTCGTGTTCTTTTCATGTATTTGGCATTTTAGTTTTTTTTCCTTCTTAAGCGTTGTAGCTATATAATTTCAAACATCCTCAAGAGCTATAACACATCTGCAGCAGAACTGGATATGAAGACAAAATTGCAGGACAGGAACACTTTAATTGTCCACTAATCTTCAGATTTCCTGCTATGTTTTAAAAAACTTTATTTGTGAAAACCTTCAGCGTGGCGGACAGCTGGCCGCCTTAGGCGGCTAGTATTAAATAAAGATATTTGGTTATTTAAAAAAATTATTGAATTCGGCAAAAAAAAAATTAGAAAAGTTTTGCGGTTAATGAAATATATACAAGTAATTCTTAAAAATTAATCTGGAAGAAAAAGGCATATGTAAATTTTGCATGTCGAACAAATTAAAGGAATTCAACAATCTTTCTCCTATTTTATAAAATGTGTAACGAATTATTTTTAAGCAGTTATTAAAACTTGTTCAGGCATATTTTTTATCAAATTTTTTTCTACTTTTTTCATTCGGAATACAGTTTTTAGAAAAACTGTCTTTTAAATATAAGATAAAAGAGAACAAATTGAATTATCATTTTAAATATTAGCAAGAAATGTGAAACTGTAAATAAAATTTTGCATATTTATTTTTGAACGAAAAAAGCCATAAAAGAAGCCATTTGTGGTGATTTAAATCATTATTTATTGTTCTTAATGACAATAACAGTTAATCACATCGATGCAATTACAATATGTGACAATGAATAAAATAAGTTTAGCTTAGCATTAATAATGAAATAGTGTAGAATATTGAGAATATTACAGAAGAAGTATGAAATAGAAAACAACATGGACGGTAAGAATTGTACAAAACATTTTTTTAACATATCTTTTGAGTTTTTTGTATATAACATTTTTTAAAAATTTATAAAAATGTACACAATTTCAATATTTAATACTTAATTCTTAACCTTTTTAAATTCGTTGGTTTTCGGATTTTACTTATCAAGAAATGCTAATTACGCGTATATATGTTTATTTGAAATGTGATCATTTTTATATTATTAAAGAAAACTATATAAAAATACTGAAAAATTATTTTTTTTACTTTGCTCTATTTTATTGGAAAAAGAAATATTGAATTGCAGAACCAGATTTTTGTTTACTCTTATTTTAACAAATTTCGACTAGTAAATGTTAAATCAACTCAATCAAGTTAAAATAAAAAATTAAAAATCACAACAAGATAAATAGATTTTTCGCTCACCATACTTAACAATTGCCTGCTATGTTTAGTCAGCTCATGCAAGTCTTTACTTTTTAAAGTAAATAAAATACTATTAAAGTAATTACATAATTTTTCTTTCTTTTCTTCATTCACTCATTTATTGCCTAAAAAGTCAGTTGAGGTGTTTCTCCCTTTCTTTTTTTCTTTTACATTTATTTACAATTTCTTTATTTATTTCTTTTATATATTATAGATATTTTCCTTAAAAATATAAGGTTTTTTACCTCTTACTCGGAGAAAAAATTCTGTTAAAATTATCATACTGTATGGTAATGACGTTTCTGGTAAAACAAAACATTATTCCGGATATATAAAATAATAATATACTACATTCATACCATTTACACCAGAAACTTTTTAGTTCATATGGTTAAGGTTTACAATATATTCTGATATAGTTGTTATTACCACACATTTAGTAAAAAATGTGAAACTGAAAAGTAAATACCGAAGATAAATTACTGAACTTTTTGGTGTGCCCATAGAAAATTAGAAAAAGAAAATAGAAAATTAGAATTACACTATCCTTGTAGTTTTTATCATATATTTTCTCAATGAGCGTAAAAATTTTAAAAACTGAATTTAATACCTCCTCACCATCAGCACTACTATAACTTCTACCAGTTGTTAAAAATTAATGGTTAATATTTTTACATTCGTGATAAATGTAAGAAATACTTAAGGCAAAAATAAATTAATATTTGTCAGAAATAAGTACTTTATCAATATCAAGCAAAAACATGTGTAAACATTAATCTAATTTTACTTTAATTAATGCCATAGAATATGTCATATGCTATACTCCACTTCTTTTAGAGTATTTCTAACAATACAACATCGAATAAATAACATGAATAACTTGTTTCAAAATTGGTTTTACATTAAATAACATGCACAAATTGGCTTTAAATAAGTTACAAATATAAATATATTTATCAAAACTGTACAAAATTTACATTGTGACTAATATATAGAAGANACTTTAACTATATATATATATATATAATTTATTTTACTAACTGGTCTTAAAATATTTTTGCGGTCATATTTCATCTTAGCTTAAAAATGTCATTTTTTAACAGTTTGTAGTTATTTCCAAAATATTTCAGTTGCAAGAAAGAAAAAAGTGTACTAGATAAAACTATACGCATCATTTTCATACAATAAATATGATATTCAAATGCAATTAATGAAAGTGCTTGAATATATAAGTGAGTTTTTTTAATTTTGTTAACAAGCCATGATATAAAAATTATATACATTTCTAACAACGAAAAATTGTGACTTAGAAGCTAAGAAAGCTAGAAAATAATTTAGGACGTACACGTGAAGCACAGAGTTAAACAGGCAAAATTAGAAGTTGTAATAAAATAAGAATAGAATGTATTGATACTGGGAGGACCAGAAGTGGTGAGACATAAAATTTGATTAGCTTTCTTTTCATAATGCACTTTATTCTTATTTATTCTTATTCACTTTATTCTTATTAAAGCTTTACGCATGATAAATAAATATGCATAAATTTGGGACTCAGCAACGCTCTAAAAAGATCTAATTTTTATCTGCGTTTCGCATTAATTAAAGTCAGGAGAAGAACAATTATTGAACAGTAAAAATGGCTGTTGAATGTGTAGAAACTTAAAATAAAATGGTATATGTGGATTACAATTGCCAAAACCAAAACGAAAACACATTTTCCAAAAAAATCGCTTTATTAAAGAAAAAAAAAGACTAAACGGGAAAAATAATATTTGTAAATGTTATTTCGATGCAAAATGACCTGAGGAATTCGAAGCCAATCACGTGATTCAATTCTTCTTTAATTTTGAATTTAAAATTACTATTTTAAGAAACATTTTGCTTAAGTTGAATGTATTTACACTCAAAACAAATCCATCTACATCTTAAATGATAATACCCATCTAATTCTTATTACTTATAAGTATTTTTTGTGCTTTTATTTTTATTATTATGGGTGCTCTTCCAGTTAACAACACACTTTTGACACTGAACACATTCATATATTCAATGATATTTTTTATAATATTACCACAAAGTATTTGCATACATATAAATTGTACTTTAGTGCTAACTACTATTAATAAAAAGTGTTTAATAATCATAGTTCCTTCCGAGAAAGTGTTCGTAATATTAATATTTAAATACACTTTGATTTGGATTGGCTTTAATATGGAGTTGAATTCAATCCATGACTAGACATTTAGTAGACAATCCCTCTTTATGTGAACACCTATATTTTATGCTTATTATTAGTTTCTTACAGAATAATAGCAGTAATGTTTATGCAATGCAATCAGAAACGAGTTATTTGAATCAAGATGATTTTCTTCATTTTCCTATTGAAAATATAACATTTTCAGTTATAGAAAAAAGAGTTGCCACTCATTTAATTATGAGTTTATGAATCTTTAGTATTTCAGGCACATCGTTTGAGAGAATCTTTAGTATTTCAGGCACCAGATGTTTGAGAGACGCTTCATTGTAAGGTCAGGTAAAAGTCATAAAAACGAGAAGGCACATTAGGTTCTGTGAATTTTTCGGTACCCTAAATTTAACACGAGAACCGATCTGTTAGTAGTCACTATCTGGAGTTGGAATGGATGCATTAGTTCTAAATGCTGTATAGCTCGCAAAGGGTTTCTGTTCCTCGGGAGCTATGTGAAATACAGATAAGAAAGCATGGATAACTGTTGATGCATAGACGATCCACAACGATGCATTATTGAGTCTGTCAGCTCTGCCTTGCTGACCAGCATCATTGATGTCGCATCGGCCTTTGAGGATGAGGACAGATCCAAGGCACATCTACAGAAAATAGAGAGAAAGTTGGAAGCACGCCCCCCAAAAATGTCATAAAATAATAACAAAAGATATCAAATACTAAGGTCGAACTAGAATGTGCATCATGCAATTTTGTGCAACATCAACCTAGTTTGTTAAGAGTACTTTGACGCTCGTTCTTCCATTTTAAAAAAACTATTTAATAATGAAATCATTTTAATATCGTTTAGTAAAACTATCAATTGAAATAAAAATATTTATACTTATCACACAATACATGCGTAATAAACCATAACATTGCTTGAACTTACCGCCACCTTTATATAGTGCTAAATTTAACCATATTATGATACTTCTTAAATTTGGTAACCTATGACGTTATGGCTCAACTTACAACGATAACATCTAATTCAGATTGCAGTAAACTTATACTATATTATTGTATTACGGTTTCATGTGGCATTAATGTTTCATGTGCCTTAATTCGATTTTCCGATTGAACTGATTTTTTGGAGACTGTTCTACTAATAGAATCGAAAAAAAAAATATTTAAAAAAAAAATTTAAGTTTATCAGCATGTATACATACAATACAAAACTTTAAAACAATGTTTAATATAAGTTACAGAAGTTAAATACAAACCTGCTTTTAAAAAATTACATCAATGTTTTTAATTAAACTCTAAAGCGCAAATATGCCTGATTTTGTGCAAGACTTTTGAAATATTTCTGAAAAGCTTCTAATGTGATTAAAAATCCTTCTGATACATACTAGAATTATTTAAAAAATAAGATTCTAGAATTGAAATATTTAAAACACAAGATTATAGAAATATTTTTAAAAATCAAAAGTCTCAGAAGTATTTTAAGGATAAGGTTTGTAAAAAGATAAGATTCCAAAAATATTTCAAAAGCTAAAACTCATAATTATTTCATTGTTAAAATTAAGTGATGCTATATGTGCTGTTTGTACTGAATTACTACATTGTATGTATATACTGCATTGTTAATCAGATAAATGTATGAACTTACTGTCAAAATTACTCTCAAATTCAATATTTAATTTGTAATTAATTGTTAATTAATTGTAAATTTAATTTCTACTTAATTAGTTATTAGCATCCCAATAATCATTAGAATTATATTTCTTAAACCAAATTCAAGCATTTAAATTTTCATTTGAGAAATTTTTTTAACGAAAAACTGAAACAGAAAAATATTAAAATATTAAAAGGCAGTGTTTATCTTTATAACTTTTGTTTTGTTCCAACTTCATTTACTAAATGAAGTTTTGATATAATTTTTTATCAGAAATAATATACTACATTTAAAACTTGCTCAAAGAAATATGTGACATAATTCTATTGCATTTCTATTATAATTAAGGAATTATTATTGTTTGACAAGTTCTGCGACCCAAGAGCTTATTTAATATTATACAATTGAAATATAAGTTAAAATTTACAGCCTGTTGAATACATTTTTAATTTGAATTTTATTTATTATTAAAGTGCTGCATTTTTCAAACAATTATTTTACTGAACATGAAAATCCGTTTAACTGACTCGATTATTTTTTTCGAATGGTAAAAATACTTTGAGATTAAAATTTAGAAGGCAAGTGTCAATTTATTAACCATGACGGATTATTGAGACAAATGTTTAATTTATTAAAACTGAAATGTTGCATTAATTTTTAAAGTATTAATGAAACATAATTTAATGTGGGAACTGTTAATTTCCTACATTATGCATCGTCTTTATAATTATGCAACATGAGAAAATTTTTGTAAATTAAAGAGGATATTTTTTAATAAAAATGCAATATCAATGAGCGTTTACATACAAAAACAATCCTACTCAGCATATTTTTACAAAGTTTCTAAATGGTGGTTTATAAATTTTAATTTCTAAATAGCTAACTAGTCAAAAATTATTCTTATTCTTATAACACAGCTAAATACTATACATCATTTTTTATTATTTTTTACGTTTATTGTTCAAATATTTCCTGAGTCAATACTTAGAACTAAATATAATTACGCTACATCATATTTGCTTAATAAAGCTCTTCATAGGATAGCTTAATGTAATATATTGACGTACAACGAATCACTGAACAAAGCAGATCACAGCTTTTCGTGACATGCGTCTTACAGTTACAAGAATTATCACAAATTTTATGTCATTAAGCAGAATAAAAACATTCACTGCCATTCCCTTGTTATATTCATTCCTATGGTTCGCATACGTGAATCCTATTTATTTATTTTTATTTTTTATACGTTACACAACTCTTTATTTTATTATTTTTTTTGTTGATAAAACAAACAGTTTTTACGTATTCATACATTATTTGTTACAATTCTTAAATTGTTTAAACACACTTTCAGTGTTATTCTTCTGTAAAACTGTATTTGATTTTAATCACGAATAACAAAGTCTTTTTACTACACAGAAAAAAAATATTTCTCATTAAATGAAAAAGAATGATTTTAATCTCGAAGGGGAAGTTTTTTTTAGAAAAAATACCAAGTCTCATTAAATTGGAAAAAAAATGCATTACTTTACTCTCATAGGAGAAAGATTTTTACTTAAAATTAGAAAAAAATTAGTACAAAAAAATAGTAATAATGAAAAAAATAAAGGCTATTATGAACGGGATAAGAAATGATATTCTCGTTACAAAAAAATATAATGGGCTAATGTATGAAAATTAAACAAGAAAAACACCTTTGCTCTGATATTATATTCAATATTAAGGATTGCAGTAATTTTTAACTTGCACGTTTTGAAGTGAAAAGTTTCAGCCATAAATAAATTTGTATATTTACTTTTAAAAGCATGCTGCAAATTCGAAAGCAATCGTAAGTTTACATATTTTTAGGTGAAGTCGTTTTAAATATTTCATAAATAAATTTTAACAATTTGTGCAAAGCTTCAGAGATTAATAATTAAAAATAATATTTATAAATCTATCTTGTAATCAGCTGTTCTAACTATTAAAATCTGGTATAGTTGATTAACTAAGTGTAAATAACAACAAGATTCATAAACCGGAACGAAATCTTCAAAACTTCCAGCGTATCCTTCCTATGTTTGTTTACGAGATCATGAATGACAAGCTTCCTAATCTAGAAAATTTTATTATTGATATTGTATTCAGATATACAAATAAATTTACTGTTCGTAAGATCTTAATGTATTTTAAAGATTCTAAAGAATCTTGAAAGTCGTGAATTGATTCAAATAACTGAATATTCTAACATAAATAAAATTTAAGGGAGTTGATGTTTTTAACATAATCTTAAATTTTTTTCTTGTTTTTTTATAATTTCAGTTAAGGTAAAATAGATTTACAATTGTAATGGTAAAAATCGCAAGTCACATTGTTAACGATTAAAGCACAATAACCAAGCATGATGACATGTTTTTTTAGCTTAGACTTAAAAAGAAATTGGGAGTATTAACCCGGAATTCTTATTACGTAATTTAACTGATAGTACCACACGTACTTAACTTTACACGGTTTACCAGCCATAAATCAGTTGTCCACAGGAACTATTTACCTTTGAGTCGCATTATTTATGAATAGCCATATAAAACTATATTTACCTGTAATATTATCGACAAACTAATTAGAGTCATCATAACATAGTAAAATTCATGTTCTTTTCCAGCTTGTAACAGATATTTTAGCTGGGACGCATTGGCAGTTAACAGTGCCACGTCCAAGAGACCTTGAGCAATAGTCTTTTTGGTAGCGTAAACATTGGCATCTAGAGGGCCAATGGTCAGTGGTTTCGAAGGAACGGCATCACCATTGCCAGTCTTAAAAAATATAGAAAAAATACAATTGTTAATTAAACAGTAGATAAAAATTAAGCAGATAAAAATTAAACTGAAAACACACTGAAAAAAGTCTTATGATTGATATTCGAAACAAATATTATTATTTTTCAATATAATGTTAGCTGGGACGCATTGGCAGTTAACAGTGCCACGTCCAAGAGACCTTGAGCAATAGACTTTTTGGTAGCGTAAACATTGGCATCTAGAGGACCAATGGTCAGTGGTTTCGATGGAACGGCATCACAATTGCCAGTCTTAAAAAATATAGAAAAAATACAATTGTTAATTAAGCAGTAGATAAAAATTAAGCAGATAAAAATTAAACTGAAAACACACTGAGAAAGTCTTATAATTGATATTCGAAACAAATATTATTATTGTTCAATATATTGTTACGCACATTGCAAGACATATAATTTATGATGTTTTTAATGGGAATCAGAAGTTACAAAAGTTTTTAAAAAAATAAGCAGTGTTAAATCTAAATAATTTGATGGTATATGCATTCTATATAAATTGATATTACATAATTTACGTATGTGACGTCGTTCAGTTTGCATACCTTGATTGTAGGTAGTTATGTAATTTAGCAGTATGCATACTTCAGAAGAAAAGTAGTATAATTTGAAAAACATTAATTTAAAAATGTACACCCTTTTGAAAATAAAAGAATTGTTCTCTGGCTTTCTGATATAAAAACGTTTTTATGATAAACGTCCTTTAAAATTTTTTTAAATATATTTGATCAATATTCGAGTTAATGCAGAAAAACGTCGCATCTTTTGTGAGACATTCAAACAATACTTTACTTACACAGAGAAAGAAATTTAGACAAAACTACCAGAATATTTTAAAATTTAACGTCTTTCTGGCTCTATGGGAACATCAAAGCTCTCAATAATTTTTACCGCAGATCTTTGATAAAGATTTTGGTAAAATTAACAATAAAATATGGTTTTATAATGTGTGATAAAGTTTGATAAAAGGGTAAGCATTTCATAATTTTGCATTAATAAAACACAGCTAGCGTGGCGAAGAAAAACATTTATTCGGTTAAATTTTTATTTCAATTGTGAATTTTTTTACTAAATATGCGGTAATAAGAACTACTTTTTTAAAAAAACAGAATTTCTAGTAACCCGTTATCATAGAAACGGAAAGATTACCAATTGAAGGGTTTAAATATTGTTTCATTTGGTTTTATTAACCCAAGCAATTTTCAAAAAAAATGTCATTACCATACAGTATGATAATTTTCCGTGTTAATATAGTTAGAGTTTCAATTTAAACTTTTAAATAAATTTTATAAAATTTTGAATTATGTAAAAAAAAAAGGAAAACTATATTTTCTTGGCTTTTACAGTGATCATCCTAAGAATATTTGGGTGTTTAATATTGTTGATTAATTATCCTGTAAATAAATAAAGTTCTTGTGAAAATTCTTAACGTTATCTGGCTTTCAAATTTTGTTCGTTGACCTTGTTTTTCTTAATAAATAAATTTAAATTTTTCTTTTAATACAATGAATAACACACATGCTTTATATTTATGTCACACATGATTCCCTTTGTAAAAAGGAATTAAATAAATTTTTTTCCGTCAACCATCGTGTATCAATTTTTAACTGAATAAGTATCCAAAAAATATAGCAGAACTTCGGTAACATTAGCTTTTGAAAAGTTTCAACTCAAATACTCTAAACATGAAATTTAATATTTTATACATCAATTTATCCAATGTAGTTCAAAAAATGATTATTATAATTTTCTAATTTAATTCTTGTCATTTTAATTATAAGCCAAACTTAAAACAGAAAGTTTAAACATAGGTACCGTTTCATCTTAGGTTCTTGTTATTAAACTTCTCAAAAGAAGAAGATAATGATGTGCAATTTAGTATTAACGCGTAAGCTTAAAATATTTCATAACTAAAACACGCTTGTACCATATTTAATGTGCACGTGCGTGTTTTACGAATATTTACTTTCACTCCAGAAATTTTGCATACGCACACTGTAAAAAGTGACTGTAAATTCTACAGAAAAAAGATTTTTTAAAGAAATTTTTTTTAAAGTTAAATAGATATTTTCGTCAAATATGATATGATATGATAAGATAAATAGATATTTTCGTGTTTAATCGTCTTCTGCACGCTGCAAAAAATTTCCGCGTATTTTTACAGATTTTAACCGTATATTCAAGCTGTTTTTAACTAAAGTTTTGTTTTTTTTTCTCCCAAATTATAAACGGATTAAACTGTCATAAACTTTCAATTCAAATTCTAGTTTTTGCCATACAGTTTTGTTCACCAAAAATAAGCAAAAACGTAATATAAGGCAGGAAAATGAATTTTTTCAAATCATTTTAATATAAGTTTCTATACATATTCTTACTTTTCAAAAATTACTTTCTAGTTTTAAACTTTTATTAAAAAAAATTGCGATAGTTTGACACAGTTCAATAAAATGTTTTTAATTCATATAACAGAGTTTTTTTGTTAAAATAACAGTACATATGTGCTTAGAAACAGACGTCTGTTTTTAAGTAACGGTACTTTTCTGTGAAAGAAAGAAACGGTTTTATACTAGGATACCAGATATAAAAATTTTTTATAAAAGTGAAAAACTTTCACGTGAAAAATACGTTTTTCATTATTATATCTGGGAAATTTTTAACTTGAACAAAATTGTCTAATTTACAATATATTAAATGCGATCCAATAAACCCATTCGAACAGACTTAAGGCAAATTATTTATATTTTTTTTTATTTTAACGAAAAAGGATTAAATATTTATCACTTACAATATTTTCTACTTCTTTTCCTGAAGCAATAGTAGTAATATTATTACGACTTCGAACAGAGAAAAATTTAGGTAGTTCTCTTTCCATGAAATTAATAATATGCCTGCTTTTCATGCTCTTATACGAAACACGTTTTTCGCCATTATGACATAAAATCAAATGAAAGTTAAATATCAAATGAGTGATACCGTACTAGGCGTTGACCTAGACACGCTGCTTTTCAGAAAACTAACTTGCGTGATGTGAAAAATTAAAAAGGTCATTTTATAACTGGTCTGCGGTAAAAAAAAAATCATTGTTAGATAAAGAATAATTGGATAAAAGAATAAATCACTTTTACAAAAACAATTCAACAAAAACAATGCAATTTTAGAACTCAAATTAAATAATTTTAAAATTGTATACAATTTTATACAATACTAATTTTATTATTATCTGAAGCATTAATGCGTATGTGGTCGTGAAACGATGATTTTTTTTATCTCGTGCGGTAAACGGAAAGCCGAAAGAAACTGAGCTTAGGCAAAATTTCGAAGTTAAAGTCAAACTGTTTGTAAAAATTGATGAAACTATATTTTTAGTTTAATTAAGCTTATTGATTTAACCATATTTGAAGCAATATTTTAGTTTTAATAAAAAATAATAATTTACGCAGATGACAAAATCAGTGCAGAAGCCACGAAAATGGGTGAATGTTAAATAACGTTGCTCATCGATTTGACCTAAATTTGTGCTTTAATCTTGGTATATTACCCTCATTTTTATATACTTAGTTACTTTGCTCGTTCTATTTACTTTATCTTCGACTTTTTAACTCTTAAGGATTCGTAATAAAAAATATTTAAAATTGCCGTGACTCCAAACGCTGAATTGTGTAAGGAGGGATTCTATGAATTACTGTTTCCTATTATTTTCATTAAAGAGTAGCATTAAAATGTATGTAATCGTATTGCGCAAAAATTGAATAAAATCAGGGATAGTAAGTTACTTCTACAATAGTAAAAAAAACAAAAATCCTTTGAAAACAATGCCTTGAAGGAAATAGGTTTTCAACCCAAGTAAAAGAAGTTTTAAAAAAAAAATTTTAAAAAGAATTATCAAATATGTAAACAGTTTATAGCTGTTATTAAGCTTAAATAATACTATTGCTTTTCATGATGTTTAAGGGATCACTCTGTGAATTATAAAAAGTATTCATTAGAAAAAAACCAATGAATTTCTTAAGAAATTTAGGTAGTTGTAGTTTATCAATGTTTTAGTTAAATCAGTTTACTAAAATCTATTTTTATAATTAAAGAAATGTTTAAATAAGATAAACAAATCTTACTAATATTGCTAAATTATCAAATCACATACTAAACATATTACCCTACTATAAAACAGATATTGAATTCAACAATAAACAAATAGCATACTTTCTTTTATAATAAAATACTGTTAAGAATAAATACCCAAATCGATACTTTCAAAATTATATAATATGATGTATATTTTTAAAAAAAATTCTGATCAAAAGGCAATATATATATAACNATATATATATATATGGAAAAGAAAACGTGAAAAAATTATATTTTTCCTGAATTATAAATTTAATTGGTTAAATGTAGGCTTACACTTAACACTAATTGCTAAATAATCGTACTTATCTCTTTTAGTTAATTATAACTTTGAATTAAATGCATATAAATAAATTATTTTACAGGATGTATATCTTGAATATTTTTTGAACCTAATATTAAAGAAATGCTTCTATTCATACAAAAATAGGCTAATATACAACAGTGTTCAATGAGGTAACAAATCAAATTCGGATTATGAAGCGATTACAGAAAAAATGTGATAGGACTCCCTATAGTTCATTTAAAATAAACAGGAAAGCAAAATTGAAAGAAAACATCGTAACTTAACATCAAAAAATTATCGATATTTAGTAAATGTTGATACGTTTTCAATATGACTAGCAAAAAATGTATTTAATGAGTGCTAAGATAAAAATTAGTAAGAAAAAATGAAAAAAAAAATTTAAGTTTCAATTTCGGGAAAAACAAAAATAGCATTTTTTAGTTTCCAATGCAAAAGCATGACATTTGCCTTATATAATGGATCTATCTTAAACAGTATTGTATTTCTAGAAAAGTGAACAAAACATGAGCCGTTTGCTCAAATTTTCGGTG